GCAATTACATAAACTTTTACTCCCATTTAGAGAATTCTCTCTGAAAAGAACCGTTTTTCACACGAAAAAAATGTATATGTACAATTTGTTGTGTACACGAAGCTTGGTTGTAAAACGTTGTGTATAATTTATTGTGTACACGAAGTATGGTTGTAAAAAATGATACTAGTAGGATTTAAAAAAATGATCAATTGAGTGCATCAACTTATTGGAAATGGAGTAAAAAGTACTTTATATTGCATTTGATATTCTTAAGTAAAATAAATTCTATTTTTTTGCATTAATTGAGTACACCTGTTAGATTAAAATGTTAATATGGTTGAGTTGGCTAACGGAACACTTAGCAAGAAGTCTGTAGGGTGCATCGACCAAAGAAAAGTCGACCTGCAGAGGGGATTGCGTTGATCCAGGGGAATTCGGTCAAGTGGACCGGGGTTGGCGTTGACCTTTAGGGAGTCGACCTATTAGCATTCCGTTAGTCAACTCAACCGTAGTAACATGTTACCTAAGTAACCTAACATGTGTACTCAATTAACACCAAAAAACCGTGTTTGTACATATAGTGTATTCTTTAGTCCACCTCATGAAAGTTGATGTACAAAAATGACCTTTATCTCGATTTTAAAATAAAAATGATTTTGGGCAATTATGGTTGAACATGCATTTGGGGTTTTCTTGTTCTCCATTGAAAGGAGAACGAAACGCCCACCAAAAACTGAAACAACTCAAACTCATGTGAGGTTTTGCATTGAAAACCGTTCAAATCTGAACCAGGATTGAATGAACTGAAAGAATATAGTATTAGTATTCTACTAGATCGATTATCTTATACAGTATGATACGATATCGATTCTTCATTGAGAATCATTTCCAAATCGTACCAACCCGTATTTTCCCAAACCATTATGAACAATCGATTATTTGATATACTTCATATCATTAAAGAGCATGTTACGTGCTGATTAAAATTAATGATACTAGGTAACAAATGATTCTCAATGAAGAATCGAAAACATGTTACCTCAGTGAGCCGGTGCCGCTGCCCCCGTTCTCCGGTGGCGGTTGTATGTGTGTGTCCGGAATATGTCGTTCCTCGTCGTCACCGACGTCCTTCCTACGTCGTTGACCTTCAACTTCTGTCGCTGGTGCTTCAGACCCGGACTCCTCTCCTTGAGGTGCCATAAACTCACCTATGTTGTAACTACTAATGAAAGCCATCTCCTCAACACTATAATCCATTCACATAATAGCTTCAGACCCGGACTCATGTTCCTCTGTCGTCATCGTCCGTCGAGTTGTGAAGAGAAGAAGAGGAAGACAACGCAAGAAGCTTCAATGAACGGTGCTTTGAGTGCGAAAATATGTAAAGGGAAGAGGGAGAGCGAGGGAACAAAAGAGAAGTGTTTGCTTCATATAGGACTAAAAGAGGAGATAAATTTTCAAATAGGATCATGTATGATTTTTCCCTAAATATAACCATTTTACTCCTATTTGAAAACATCCGTATTACTGATGGGCGTAGCTCAACTGGTAGCGAGGGAGTGCCACAAGGGTTAGGTCCCGGGTTCGAATCACGACGACTGCGACGAGAGATTACTATGCTAAAAATGCATAGTGCTTCTGCAAGTACCGGGGACAGAGCTCCACTCTCTATCTGTCAGATTAGATTATAGTCCAACTTACATCCTCTCAACCTACCGTCCGGTCAGGGTTGGGCCCCCCCAGGGATAGGGTGTCATCATTTTTTTTTGAAAACATCCCGTATTTTTTATTCCATTAGCTAGAGGGGTTGTTAGCTAGAGGGGTAATTACTATGGAGTAATTAGAATGGTAATTTTTTGGGGTTTTATATATTGTGTACGGTATGTGTTGTCTTAGGCCTTGTTTGGTTCAAAGGAGGGGAGAGGAGAGTCAAGGAGGGAAGGGAAGGGGAAGAAAGGATTTTGATAAAAAATTGTGTTTGGATGGAGGAAATAGGAGGAAAGGTTTAATGAAAATATTTTCGCAATTTACTTTTATTTGATAGTTTACTTAAAAAAATAGATACATGTCTAACTATTGTGAATATTACTTCTATGGTCATGAGTCATAATTTTATTTTATTTGATTTTTTACTTTTTTAATTTGATAATTTTCCATTTTTCAGTTTGGAATTTTTAATTTTTTATTTTTATTTTTATTTTTTAAATTTTTTATTTTTAATTTTTAAAATTTATAATTTATAATTTTTAATTTTTTTATATATATTTTTTTTAATTTTTAAATTTTTTAATCTTTAATTTTTTTAATTTTTCAAAACTTTTTGTTTTTTTACCTTTTTATATTATAACGTTTTGTTCATTCACGTAGGAGATAGATAGTTTGTGGTTATCTAACACGTTTCTTCCGAAATACCCCGATTTGGCAAGTTTAGAATGTGAGGAAGTGAAAGATTTTGAATGCCTCCCACTTTCCTCTCATTCTCCCTATTTCCTTCAAACAAACCCACACAAATCCCCCACTTTCCTCCTCTTCCCTCCGAAACTCTCCAACCAACCAAACACGGCCTTAAGCATTTTTTGTTGAGAACAAATTGATGGTGTCTTCTTTGCCTACCCCAGGGACTGCAACTGGCCATCATCAACGGATTCACATCTCCACTTCTTCCGGACATCCGCTACCCCTGAGTCACTGACCCAAAAAATCCCGCCCCGCCGGAACTTATGCGTATCCACATCTTTTAGTATCAAGCCGTGTCTGAGACCTACGACCCAATACTGGTCAACCATTCGCCACGCCGCCGCCACGTTTGAGTGCTTTGTACACGCTCCTTCAAACGCCCTAGCTTTGGCGTGCCATTGCTTCGTAGGTGGAGGGGCATACTGCTCAGCAATGGAGGCATGTGCGAACCGGAAGGAGAAGAGGAAAGTAGCAAAAAAGGATAAGAGGAAGCAAAAGAGGAGGGAGGTGGCTGAGAAGTTACGAGCGGAGGAAGAGGCCAGCCTTCATGATCCTGAGCAGCAGCGCATGATTCAGCTCGAGGAGGAGGCAGAGAAGCAGCGGCTAGAGAGAGACAGGAAGGAATTTGAGGAGAGAGAGAGGCTATTTCTCGAGGAATTAGGTCGCAGAAAAGCACAGGAGGAGGAAGAGCGAATAAGAGCTATTGAAGAAGAAGAGAGGTTAAAACAAATTAAGGTTTACACACTTCGCCAAATTCCATGCTACTGTACACAGTCCATTTCAAGCATATTTATGTGTCATATAGATCCATGGATATAATATACCTATGCTCATACACACATATTGCACTTATCTCTTTTCTCGTACTTACTACTATAAACCTTAAGTAGGCTGAATGTGAAAATGAAGAAAATGATAATGAAGAGTGGGAATATGTAGAAGACGGACCTCCTGAAATTATATGGCAAGGAAACGAGATAATTGTCAAGAAGAACAAAGTTCGAGTAAAAAAGCAAGCTGTGGAACATCTGGCAATTAAAGAGGTTGTAATGACTAATCTACTTTCAGAAAATTTTCCATTGCTCTCTATTTCTGGACCTGTGGGAGTGCGGGATACTGATCTGAGGCATTTTTTTAATATCATAGGGTCCTAGGCCAACATCAAATCCTTTACCTCCAGAACCTGATGAATACATTAATGCTTCTACGATTTCAGCTCAAGGACTTTTGGAAGATGTTGCTCAACAAATCCCAAATTTTGGGACAGAACAAGTATGTCTTTTAGCCTACTATATTAGCATGTTTTCCCATAATCCCATGATTATATATTCATTCAAGGATATTTTGTGAAAGGTCTGAAGCATATCCCATCCTACTCCTAACTTCTTCTTCTTTTCCTTTTGATGTCTCATGATCTCATCACATGGTTTTATGTCTTTCAGGACAAAGCTCATTGTCCTTTCCACATCAAAACGGGAGCTTGTCGGTTTGGGTCACGTTGCAGCCGGATTCACTTTTATCCTGACAAATCGTGCACACTACTTATAAAAAACATGTACAACGGACCTGGTCTTGCCTGGGAGCAAGATGAGGGGCTTGAGGTCTGTTATGAAGTCTTCATGTGGCTCAAGTATCCTGATGCTTAGTTTCCATAAATATTTTCCACACAGTGCATGAATGGAGTTTTTTTCTACAATGGGTGAAGACTGCATGTTATTCTGCTCTTTGTTCTTTGGACGTATCCTGATTCCGGATAGGCATATTTTGGCTGATTTTTACAGATTGTTATATGCTCCTCAGCTCCTGAATTATAACATATTCAGGTCTTTTGGTTTGCTACCCAAACTCAGGAATGTATATAAATATATGAAACAGATGCCGACTGTGCTGGTCTCCCACTCTCTCCTGAGCTGTCTGATCTTTGCATCTGACAGCCTTGCGCTGCAGTGAAGTCAGATGCTCGTGGATGAGAAGATCTACGCCATCCGATTTCAAATTGGATGACTCGGCAGAGACAAACATGGAAGAAGGCGTTTGTCTCTCCTTACAAGCAACTTAATGGAAATTATGAATGGATTCGTGTAAATATTCGGGTCCTGATGTATATTCTTTAAAACCTTAATAATCAGCTATAGCTATATTTTAGATCATTCTTTAACTTGTCTAGAACAGAACTACCGATCTGAAACAATGGAGGTACATGGTTCTCACAGTGGTTGGGTTGAAGGCTAAAAAGTACTGTATCCTACTTGCAGCATTTAGTTAGAAGTTTGATAAATATTTTCTGTGCAGTTATTTGTTTGTCCATGCTTTCTGAGTTACTTCTTTTCTCTAACGTTGCCTGCTTTCTTTTATCCCCTGCATATGCTTATAGAGACACTCTTGACTACTTTTTCTCCAGTGCACAGATGAGGAGGTTGAAAATAGTTATGAAGAATTTTATGAGGATGTGCATACTGAATTTTTGAAGTTCGGGGAGATAGTAAATTTTAAGGTACACTACTTAAGCAGTCGAGTGCTTGTTATCTCTAAGAGTCAAAGTTCTGGAGACTGTCAAAGTACTGTCTAATAACAAATTTAGTTCGTGATCAGTGAAGACATACATTTTATGTAAAAAGCGCGTAAAAAATTTAGTTCGTGTAAACATTCTGTAAATAATATCAACTACGTAGTATTAGATATATGTAAAAATGGATTCCAACTATCAAAACAGCAAATTAGTCACCAAACACAAGTTTAACATAAAAATATATAATCCGAACATTTTCTGGTAAGCATTTCAGCTTATATGCTCACGTAAACCAACAGTTGCATATAGTCTAAAAACAATACTACATAACAAGTATTGGCTGCGGACAAAAAATGTAGTTTTGAAATCTTGCTACATCTCCAGCAGCCACATCAGCCCATTAGCTGGAATTCACACCATAAAATTTTCTTGTATGTATTTTTGTGTCATATCTTAAAATGGTTTAACTAGCAGTTTGTAATTTCCAAAGTTGAGATTATCTTTGGTCTACAGCCAGTAGTTGAAATCGTATTGAGTCATATATTTTCCCAATTGTGAAGCGGGGCCTTGCCATGCTTGGGGCTACATATGTTTTGCTAGAATTTAAACTACTTGTGAGTCAATGGATTTTGCTGCATTAGCATGCTTATCAAGAAGGTAGTTAGCATCACAATACAACCTTGGTGTTTACCAATGATAGGGACCCACATAGAATAATAAGAAATAAGAAGAGTATTAGAGTTGGTATAAATAGATGTTGAGAGTAGAATAGAGAGCAGGCGGGTATTATCTTGGGCTTGGGACTTTGGGAGCTGGCATTCTCTAACTGCCTTTGTATTTCTCTTTCTTCTCTGTGAATCGACATTCTTGAGACAGTTCACTCTTTCTTCATCTTTCTTTTCTGGAATTTACTCTGAAATTAGCTAGTTACTTATCATTGGTATCAGAGCCTCATTCCTGCCGCCTGTCAAGGGTTACTACACTAGGAACGATGGAAAATAGACTGGAGATCCTGGAGCGCGATTTTGAGCGTTATCGCTTCAATTAGAAGGGATAAGAATCCTGATGTTCAGGACATGAACGCAAATTCTGCTACTGTTGTAAGGGATATACCTCAGGACATGCTCCTTGCATGTATTTGCGTTATATGCTCCTCTAATTTTCCATCGTTCCCAGTATGAGCTCGTTTTCTCTGCAATTTGGGACTCCTCTAATTCTGGACTAAGAAGAGCTGATGAGTTTGCTCTTGAATATCAGTTGGGTAAAATCAGTGTGGATCTGGACCCTATTATTCAGGCTGCTGTAATTGATGTCTCCCAGAGAGAACAACTCAGGGATTTATCTGTAAAACCAGAAATTGTTAATGGAATGGAAGCTGAACTACATTTTCAACCTTATAAAATGGTCTTATGCTTCAATGATCCAGAAGTGAACTGTTCCAGTTGTGGAATTTTAATGGAATCCAAGCTAGTTGATGATGTTGGAAATATCGAAGTGGAGCCCTACTTGCTTGGAAAAATCTTTAAGGCTTCTTTCTCCTCACTTGAGCTAAGAAAGTTGGATGCAGATCCAGCTAAGGAAGCAAAGAGAATTCAGGAATCTTTCTCTCGGGGGCTGTTTGGAACACTGTTCACACGCATATCAGAATTGTTTGAAGCAAACAAGAGGAGCAGTTTTCTCCTTGAAAATTATATTGAGGCTATAGATACTGAGGCTAGAGATATTGAAGGTATAGAGCAGATCCACATGGCCCCTATATCAGTTTTCAGAAATGGTGGGAGGGGTATGATTGTGTTGCTACTCATTCAGGAAGAATCTATATTATATTGGAGGTTGTTTCGGATAGCATACAAAAAAAGCATCACCGGTTCTTCCTGCAATTATAGATGGCCTGGCCCATGAGAATGGCTCTGTAGGGGTTGTAGCACTTGGTGCTGGCCAGGGTTTAGTGAAGCATCATGTAACCATGCCCTTGCCTCAGCTGCTTGCCATGGAAAAAGTGATAGCAATGGTTCAGTTCATGAAGTTCAGGGTTCTGAAATCTGGAAGATACTGGGACGGAAGAGGCGCAAAGATGAAGAAGTTGTTCCTATCACCCACCTTGAGGACAAGGTGGTTGTCAAAGGGGGAGTAATGATAGGGACCCACATAGAATAATAAGAAATAAGAAGAGTATTAGAGTTAGTATAAATAGATGTTGAGGGTAGAATAGAGAGGAGGCGGGTATTATCTTGGGCTTGGGACTTTGGGAGCTGGCATTCTCTATCTGCCTTTGTATTTCTCTTTCTTCTCTGTGAATCGACATTCTTGAGACAGTTCACTCTTTCTTCATCTTTCTTTTCTTGAATTTACTCTGAAATTAGCTAGTTAATTATCAACCAAATCTGTATTTCATGTTTAGGTATGCAGAAACAGTTCAACCCATTTGCGGGGGAATGTCTACGTACACTATAAATCACTGGATTCTGCATTGCTTGCTTATCGCTATATTAATGGTCGTTATTTTGCTGGAAAACAGGTAGATGCCTTCTAATTTATTCTAAGATTGCTGTTGCTTTATACCTATTGAGATGAAAAGACGGGTATAGCCTGTTTTCTTCTCTGTCCTGTAGGTAATTAGGGCAAGTAGTCTCTTTAGGATTTCCTCTATCCAGTTTTTGAGTCCTACTTGTGCAATGGGGCAAAGCTGAAGATATATTCAACAAATCTCTTGTAACATTTAATTGAATATAATCAAATAAAACTTGCACATTTAATTTGAATAAATGACTTAAAATCTTTGTATACTGACCCAATAGAATCATTTGGGATTTAAAAGTAGAAGAAATGAGCCCCTTTTAATTCTGGTCATGGAATAAATATATATTTTTGAATAAATTGAGTATTTCTTTATTTTGGTTATTCTTTTACTCGTTCATCTATATCATTTACTAACATTATTTATGACTGATCAATTGATTTATGAATCGTTTAATTGATAAATTGTTTAATTGAATATAAGCAATTAAAACCTACACTTTTATACACTACTTGAAAAGTTCTATAAAACTAGTAGTGACATAACTATTAAAGAAAATAAGCTACGGAGTATGAAATAAGATGCACTTTGAACATTATGTAGTTACTAGAAGTCTAGAACAAGTAAAATGGGACATTGGTTGCATAGTATATCATCATATAACCCTCTAGTTTCTGATATCGGAAATTTCACACAATGTAGCATGCTCATTCATCCCAGTTTTGATATCTGCATGTGTTTTGTGTACTCTGGTACTGCCATAAGTACAGTGGTAGGCATCATAGCATGCGGGTGTATATATCATTATATGATTTATATCATATATTGTATTGGTATGACTCTGTAGATTACATGTGAATTTGTTACCGTGACAAAATGGAAGGTTGCCATATGCGGGGAGTTTATGAGATCGAGGCTTACGGTAAGAACCTCTCTTACTTAATTACTGAATTGTTGTTTTGCTAATTTACTTAGATGGTTTTTGCCAAGTGTGATGTCCTTATCTTAATTTTCTCCCTGTTGGGATGCACTATGAATACCTTTTAACTTAAAGAGTTTATTACCTTGACAGACATGTTCTCGTGGAACAGCATGCAATTTTATTCATTGTTTCAGAAACCCTGGTGGAGATTATGAATGGGCAGATTGGGATAAACCACCCCCGAAGTACTGGATTAAAGAGATGTGTGCTTTGTTTGGCTATTCAAAGGAGTCTTTCTATGACAGTAGAGTTGAGCAAGAAGATTCTGAACACACAGCTGATGTATACAGGTACTTGATTTTTTACTACAGTTGTTTAACTTTGCACCAAGTGTTTTCTTAGCTTTTTTTTTTTTGCTTTGCACCCCGTGTTTTATTTTCATTGATTTTGAACCTTCCTCACCCAGGCTCTGGGTGCTAGTCCGCAGCTCCCAGTCCACTTTCTAGAACTTTGTTTAGTGTATTTTAATTTCTCATCTACATTCATGAATCATTTTTATTTAATAGGCATCACTCGGAAAGATATCAGGCAAGAGAGAGTCGAAGGTCTGGATCAAGGGAGAACAGGAGTTTGAGAAGTCATAATAAGGAACATAATGTTCGAAGGAAAGAAAAAGTAAGCCGACCCAAGTGTCTTCTTGATGACAAAAGATGCGAAGATGAAAAAAATTCTAGATCAAACCAGCATCATCACCAAAACGTAGATGACCTGAACCTCCATGATGCAACCCGTAAAAGATCAAGACACGCCCTGTCTGAAAAAACACACTCCAAAGACTTTCATGATGATAATAAGTTCAGAAGTAGCAGCAGCGATTCTGAACATGGTTCACCATGTAAAGATCACCATGATAATATTGTATACCACAAACATAGAGCACATGGTACTGATAGAAGTGGGGATAACAGGAAAGATAGAATCCGAGCAAACCGGAGGAAATCCTCAAGGTGTTTGAGTGATGATAGCTCAATCTGTGGTGCTAAAAGAACTGATGATGATTTTGATTTTGATAGTGGGTATGAGGGGCACATATCTCACCACACTGGCAAAAAGGTTGACGAAAGAGGGCGGTGGGACCCTGACACAGGAGCCACCGGAGACTATGGTGTGAAGCATTTGGAATCTGGCAAGAGAAATAAGAAGCGCCACAGAAGTCATCATCAGCACAGCAGAAATGATGAAGGCAGTTCTTAAGTACGCCGTTGTTAGTGCCTTGATATTTCAGTGAAGAAAATTAGGTCTGAATTGGCAGAGATAAGTATCTACCTATCCATATGATAATCTCGCTTTCATGTCTTGAATGTATATATATTTTTGGCCAATGTGATATCTTTTTTTCCTATAGCTTGTGCCTTGTGGGTTATATACTCTTCGCATGTTTCAAAAAAACCTGTGTTAGAGACTCATAGTCTCATAGGTATCAACCCATGAGGCTTATCACTTTTTCAAACTTGTAATTTTTTTATTTTTAGCGCATTAAATGTTATTTTTGAGCTGAAAATTGACAGGTCTCACTCGAACACATTCTCAAGTGAAATTAGGTGTGTTGTGAAAAATATTCTTCTTAAACTATTATCATGAATACTTTGAAGGATTATGAAATAGGAAGGACCATGTATACGTAGGCATGGATTGGGATGAGCTAGGCTTCAGGACTAAGGAAATCAGGCCCGGTACCAGCCCGGCTGCCCGGTTTGTACTGGTACCAGTTCTGGTCTGGGCCTGGATCGGGTCGGCCCTGTATTAATTTTTTGTTAATTTTGTATTTTGGATGATTTAATTCCAACCCCCACTCCCCAACCCCCCCAAACCGCCTACCCCCACCCACCTAGCAGCCAACCCAATGAGAACAAAAAATAAATGGTGACCGCTAGGCTTGGCCCAGCCGGTCCACCAAAACAGGAGCCCGAGCGTGCCTCCCTTTTCCACCGGGCCTGGTGCTGGTCCTGGAATTGGTGTAAGACTTGGTGTTATAGTTTCTTATTTTCTTGCCTTTGCCCCACATCAGCAACAGTGCATCCATTGCATTAGAGATGCTCTTATTACTACAAAAAAACACCGGAATAGTCAAGGATTTTGTTAGGGATCATAGTTCAAAAAGTCCCTAACAACTGATTTTGTTAGGGATTTTGTCAAAGAATTCATCCCCGACTCCAGCGCCCTTACAAAACTATTGTAATGGATTTCGGATCCTTGACAAATGTTGTCAGCGAATTGTCAGGGATGTTTCCTCTACACCCGAGTGCTCGTCGCCGGCGAGATTTGTCACCAAATAATATTTAATTCACATAGTCAGGGATAATTCCTAGACAACATTTGAAATTGAAGTGAAGTATTCAAAATTGTAGTCACGGATAAATCCCATACAAATGTTTCTTTTTTCAAATGTCAAATAGTACCATTGAAATTCATACATATGCAGTCAATATAATACATCAAACTTGTGAGGGATAAATCCGTGACCAGAATCCAAAAACGTAAAAAAAATTGTTTTACAACGGATATTTCCGTAACAAAAATACGAATACAATAAATAAAACTCAATTATAATTGAGCATCATCTTTGCCATCCTCAAAATAACCATGGGCATCAAATTGACTTCCTGGTTGACTTCCGGACTGACCACCGGGCTGACTGCTGGGCTGACCTCCGGGATGAGCTTCGGGCTGACCTTCGGTCATCCCCCCGGCATACCCCCTAGCATCCCCGACATCCCCCCTGGGGGAGGAGTGAAAAACTGCTGGCTGCCGGGCTGGGAATAACAACTGCCAAAGGGGAACCCTTGGTTATATCCGCCCACCATAGCCATTTGAGATTGTTGTGTTAATTTAGCAACCATAGCACGCATTTCCCGCATTTTAGCTTCTCGGGCTTCTTCTTTTTCCTGTTGTCTTTTTAACGCCTCTCGTAGCTCATCAACTTCTTGCCGAGAAGGTCCGGGTTGAGAGGAGGAATCACAACCACGAGATTTTCTTAGAATAGAGCGAGAGACTGAGCCCATTCCCCGCAACTGCCCCTTCACTGGATCACCAACAGCCTCCATGATGACATCATCCTCATCAATCTCATTCTCACCAACTTCACCCCCGCGGGGGTATGTTCAGTCAACTTTTCAGCCATCAATTCTTCATAATTATTCTACACAATCATTTTATTAAAGTAAATAAATGCAAAATACAAATACATATTTATTTTATTCATTTCTTACTGTTATCTCGGCAATACGCGGTGATAGTGGCCCAGATTTTGGAGCCCAACAAGTGTTCAACAGTACCAATCTACTGACTTTTTTCTTGAACTTTTCTCCCTATAGAAATTAAAACATTTAATATATATGGTAACCATATATAATTTAATTTACATGATAATTGGGATAAGTTACCAATTTTTTGTCATGGTCAAACGTGGTTGAATGCCCACCATGCCATTGGGTATCCTTCGCATTTTGACAGTTTCTGTTCTTCTTCCCTGCCTCACTGTATTTTTTAAACCGTTCACTGGTCTCCCAATATTCCAAAAGACTCTGCCAGGCAATGTTCGTAATCCACTCCGGCTTGGTGTTGGTGTATCCAGCATGGGAAAATGTAGAACTGAGCCAACCCGTTGCCCGGGAATGAAAGTTCTTCCTAATCTCATCTGTCTCCATCAGATTCCACATATATTCATTCTTCATCAAATTACATATTGTTAATTAACATAACAAATCATTTGCCTAATCAATAATTGTAGAGACTTTTAGTACATTACTGTGAACATGTCAAAGAATTGAGTCCGAAGTTTTTTTTATATTTGACCATAGGTGGCACATGCGTGAGTAGGATAATGTCCAGAAACAAATTTTTCAATTGTTGGTAAAATTGTTCCCTCTCTTCATAAAAATAAAAATTTAAATTAATTAATTTACGTATATTATTGTTATTTTATTTAATAGAAACTTTTAAATTTACCCGACAACTTCTTCAGCCGTTATCCATCTTTGGTTGTGAGGCAACTCATTATGAGGCTGTGAGGAGATCCCACATTCCCACCACCCCACCACCACCCCACCACCCACACACATTTCCGATTTGTCATTGGACATGCCATCATTGTCCGGCGTCGAGTGATTGCGAGATGTTTGGCCTCCGCCTCGGCCTCGGTTTGATTGATTTGAATTAAGTGAGGAGTTTGGCATCTAATATTTATAAAGTTAAGTAAATTTTTATTATGACCATTTTATTTATTATTTTTGGTAAATAGTTTTCTAACTGTTTTTTAAAAACTTGTGTTTTAGTAACATATTAAATGGAAAAACTTTTAGGTAAAACATTAAACTGAGAATTACGTATTCAATATGTTTATTGGTAAATAGTCTTTTATAACCCATTAAATTGTTAATTTCAGTTTAATGTTGAATTTTAAAATAGGTGAAGATGAAAAAATGTGTTAAACGAAAGTGTGTTATATTTGTTTTAACTTACTTTTAAGATAGGTGTTTTAGTACTTCGTATTAAAATAAGAGTAACAAGTTTTAATAGAATAATTTTTTGAGGGAGAAGTTTTTGACGTATTGTTTGAAAAAAAAATAGAAATTACCCAATATAGGAGTAAATATAAACATAATTGCACAAATAGGAGTAAAACTTAAAACTTTCTTCAATAGGAGTAAACATAAATTTTGTACCCTTAATATCCCTAACCTAGTTAATTCTAAAATATGACTTATTTAATCCTAACCTAGTTAATTTATGACTTATTCGATAATAATTTATTTATTTATTTATTTTTTAAAAAATAATAAAATATAATTTTTTTAAAAAAATAAAAAACTCAAAAAAATAAAATAAAATTCACCGCCGCGTCTGCCACCTCAGCACCACCACCTCTAGTCACCAGGAAAAAAATTCCAAGTTCATTATGAATGCCATATTTATGACAGAAAACAATGAAAATGTTGGCATTCGCAAAGAGAAATATGCCATGTTTTTGGCATTTTCAGAAAAAGGCAGTTTTTAGGAAAAATGGAATTTTTTTTCACCGCCCGGAGGTGGTGGTGCAGGGAGGTAGTACAAGCGGTGGGAAAGGCATCCATATTTTTTTAATTTTTTTAATGAAGTTTTACTATTTTTTATTATTATTTTTTTAAAAATAATTTTTTTTTTAAATTTTTTATTTTATTAATATTTTATAATTTTTTTTAATATTTTTAATTTTGTTTTTACGATTTTTTGATTTTTTCCCGAATTTATTATGAATTAAACATTTAATTAAAAGTTGTTGAGGCTTGGGTAGGGGTATACTTGTCCAAACACTAAAGTTACTCCTATTCAAAACATGGTACTCCTATTTTTGCATTTTGCCTATGTTTTGCTCCTATTTAAGGAATTCTCTCAAAAAAAAATTGAGAATGTCTTATTAGTAGATGGTGCTTATCGTAACATATTAAAATAGGTGTAAAAGGTTAAAAAAATTAATTTTTTGGTAACACATTAAATGAGAATTACAGATTAATGTGAAAGGGGGATTTTTTGAGGTATTGTCTCAATTAATTTTTGAGAAAGTCATTTTATTAACTGGTGTTTATGGTAACATATTAACATAGATGTTAGAAGATTGAATGGAAGATAACCAATAAAATAGCGAAGAATTTTAAATGGAAGATAACCAGTAAAATAAGCAGTAAGAATTTTAAATAGGAAAAGGAAGATAACCATTTCATAAGATAGATCTAATACAGCGCAAAAGGTCCGAAAAAAATGGTAAAAAAATTTGGAGAACCATTTTCATAAGATGCAAAAAGTTTAAATTTTAAAAAAGTGCCCTAAATACTCTAAAAATGTGTTCACATAGTTGAGATAATAATAGAAAAGTCCGAAAAGTGTATTTAAATATTTAAAAAATAATATGAAATTTTAGGAAGAATTGAATAGTTCGAACTAGGCATTTCATATAGCCAAAAGGTATTTCATAATTTGAAAAGCCGGAAAAAATTGAAAAGATACAGTGTGCAATGAAGAACATTCACAGTACGAATTAGAAGATACATACATAGATTTAGAGAAGAATTTCTAAGTTAAGCATACATATAACAAAACTTAAAATCGGAGACATGCATACGAATGTAAAAACAAGAAAACACTTGATATAAACGAACCAAAAACCGGAAGATGTGACCTGAACAGTAGAGGAGGATGCTTTTTACGATGGCGGCTTCGGACTGAGAGGCGGCGGCCGGTAGGATTCCGACACAGCGGCGACGAATGTGTGGAGTCGAGTGGGATTACGCAGGGGCGAAACTTTAGGGTTGTGGAGCGAAGAGAAGTGCGGCAAAATGACAAAGTAACATTTATATATTAAAGTATTAGTCAGGGATAAATCCCCAACAAGGTTCCATGTAATTAATTTGATTCGGTATAGTCAGTGAAAGATCCCTAACTAATTTAAAATTCAAATTCGTGATTAATTCGAACAGCGCAAGTTCCGATTGACGGTTTAGTTAGGGGTTTAGTGAGGGATATTTCCCTAACAAACGCGTTGGAAATCGGTTTTTCTGTCACCCCGGATAAAGAGCT